TTACTATATTCTTTTGGAATGTCTGAACCTCAGCATCACTGATCCTGATTAAGTCTGAAATCATGATATAGTTAATGTGGGAATACATTAAAAATATGCAATTACAAGTGCACAGGTGAAATAAACACATTATATTTTATTATGTTAGATCTGTTAAATTCTCACAAAGGCTCTGCAGCTATGTACATTACTGCACAAATACATAATAAACGATGGTAAGTAAAGGAAAGAAAATACAAGTATAGCTTTAATTTCTGTGAGGCCTGTTGAATCATTGTGTATTTTTCTCTCTTCAAAACCAGCTCACAATGATTTGTAAATCATCTTTTCATCATTGAAAAGAACTTCAGATTTCCCCCCTCCAGCTATTATGTGGTTGAACTTTAGGGAAAAAACCCTTTGTATATTAAGCATTATTTTTAAGTGAATATCTACCCTAAAATTTTCTAAAACTTCCATTACATTCGGATTAATTTTGCTTCTCCTTTATTTCTGTGAAAATATATTTGCTTCTCTATCCTGAAATATATAGTGTTGTTCATAGCTGTTTAAATAATACTCAAAATTAAGAAAATATGCATCTTTGTATTGAATTATTCCATAGTGAGGATGCATCCTGAGGATGAGTATACATTTCCTTTCAAGGTAAAGTCAAAATAACTGTATTACCAGCAAAGCTTCTAATGTAGCAATTAGTGGATAGAGAAAGGTACAGATTTGTGAACAAATACGATGAGAGAAATCTTAGTAAATTAAGTATTACAACATTTCAAAACACTGTTTTTCTGCTATCATGTACAATGTGACTTAGTATTTTAATCATAGTCAAACATTTTAGGCACTACAGAAACTATCAGAATACTTTGTGTAGTATACCCTCTCCAAAAATGTCTGTAAATCTGTAACATAATGTTCCGTGTCACAGAAAATGTAGAGTTTTAGGCCAGCATGACTCCAATGAAGCCAAAGTCAAAATAACTTATAATGGAGGAATTAGGTCTGACTTTTACTATAGTTTCAAACAATAATTCATTTTCTCTACTAACTCACTTCCCATTCATTAATTACATTACAGATTAAAACAATCAGTAGGGAAAAAAATCCCATCCAGCATAAATTTTACTTTGTTTCCATTTCTTATTTCAGCCTATAACTTTAGATATAATTAGTTATATTAAAGCTCTGAAGAATAAGGCTGCCATTAACAGTGATTTAGCAAATGCTTTCGAATTTTAGCCTTACACTACATAATTATACTTACATGAAATATAATTAATGAGGAAAACGTCTCAGATGTGTGGGCTAGGAAGGCAAATATAACTATCCTTTATTGTGCCTTCAAGGTTAGAATTATTATAGCACTTATAATTTTATTATAATTACCCATAATGAGACTCCACATGCGTGATACAGTCTACATGCTTTTGACATTAGAAGTTTTCAAAATGCCTCATTAAGTATTTTAGTCTATATTTATGTGGTTTTCCTTCACCCCCCATTTTTGGTGGCCATCTATTTCATGTAAAAGCGTACAAACTTATTTAAAAAATGCTACCATTAAAGATCATAAAATAATTACAATGAATAGATATTAAGATGTCACAGCTGTATAACCTATTCCTTTTATGTACTCCCATGCTGAATTGTTTTATGACCTATCATAAACCTATTAAACTACTGGTAATAAAGGATTGTAATTAGTGATAAAACCTTGTTGCTTACTGAGCCAAGACAGTCATCCTTACTTTGGATTTTATTGAAAGTAATCAAGATGAAACCTTCAGCAATGTCAAATAACACCTTCAGAGAAGAAGGTTGCATTTTGGTAGAAATTTCCAATGTTTAAGCTTTTCCTGTAGTTTACCTGCGCTGTATTTTGCAGACTGAGCTTGATTAACTCTGTTCCCCTCCACCCTTTTCCCCGTGAACTTGCACAGAAAAATGAGAAATGTAGGATAAATGAAGCCAAATAAGCTTGGGACACAGTTTGACTTCAGTGGCTTTCCATTTTGCCATTGTATTACGCATGTAGAATGCTGTCCACAACCTGTTTCTTGGCAGGATTCAACAAGGGCTAAAGAAAAGTAGAAATCCTTAGAAGTGAGCTCTGACTGAAACAGAGAATCTAGTTAAGGGAAAAAAGCATGCAAGGCGCTGAACAAAATGTGTGACCTTTTCAGTTATCAAATCAAATTAACTTTTTTCCTAGTCATACTGGGCTGAATGCAAACATAGCTTCCAAAGGCACAAAAGCCACTGCTTTAATCTGCACAGTATCATCAAGCCCCTCTTAACATTTGTGTGTTGGCCTTCTAGAATGCATTAATTTTGCCAGTGTGCTCAGATGGTTGGTTCTTGATGTATCCTGGTGAAAGCTGACATTTTCACTTCCCTTAATGTAAATTTTCTGTAGCTTAACCTCAAAATTCCGGGTGGAGTAATTTTCTCAGAATCTAAGAAAATGTCTTTTACCATTTTGGCATGGAAACAGTATATGGATGAGACTGGCTGAAGGGAAAATATAAAGCCAGAGATTAAACTCAGAAATCTGTATTCCTGTCTCCACGGCATAGCTACAGTATCCTGCACATTTTGAAAACTGGAAAGGAGGGGGGAGGGGAAGAAATCAAACAATATTCACTTTGTCTTTATAGCACTATATTTCACTCTGCAGTAAACTGTAAAGACAGAGCTCTAAGCACCGAACAATTAACCCTCCACTAATTCCCCTTCTATCCTACCAAATAAAGAATACATCAAAGACAGAAGAACAGGTATCTTCTCTCCCATTCTTCTCAACATGGATTTATTTGTCCTAACTGGACTTTTAAACCTATTGTCCCTGGCTTTTCACAGCACTGAATTGAGCAATAGGGAAACTATAGTAACCAATAATCTGTTTCACTTCAATGGAAACTATGTATCTTGGTGGATAACAAAGCCTGGGATAAACACTAAAAACCTCTGACAGGGTTTGGAGGGGGAGAGTACGGCGTCTCGACTGTCAGGTCACGTTTTAGCCAGCCTTCACCTATAGGCAACAATTATTAGGGTATTCCTCATTTGTTCTTCACTAAGCAAATTCTTCAAAGGTGCTTAATGGTTACCTCACCTCCATTAAAATTCACAGTATTCTCTGCAATTAATTCAGCCATATGCAGAGGTGTGTGCATGCTAATCGCTTTTAGTCACATATACATTAAGATTATCTCCACCAGGCTCCTTTTGAAGGGATGCCTCCTCAAGGAAAGCTGGTAAAACTTTGTATAGTGATATTTGTAGTCGAGTGAACACAATACATCTCTCCTTAATTCCCATAAAGATTTTTAAATCTCCCATTTCAAAGGGAGCAGGGGAAAAGTGTATTTGGTATTCCCCATGCAATTATAAATCGGAATTAAAACAAGTCCAATATCCACTTAGATATCAATACGAGCAAATAATTTTGCATCACCCAAGATCTACGTGAAATCGAGTGCGCCGAAAGCTGATCACTTTTGCAAGTAAATCAAAAAGGCTCTTCCTCTATTTTATTTTTTTATCTTAAATGTATCCAGAGTTTTATAGCTAAATACAAAAGCACTAGCAGTTGGTCATGCTTTAAGCTACTAGAAGAAAGTTAAGCTTCCACGTTGGCTAGCCGAGATATCAGCTCTAAGCTGACAAGTAATTAAACCAGCATATCTATAACAACTGTCATCTCTTATTTCTGTGCAACTTGGATGTAAACCAAAGGCACGAAAGCCAAAAAAAGACTTCACATTACTGGGCAACTGCTGAGCATCTCCTGCTGAACAGTTTAGCAGACCTGGGCATTTAGAGGATTGTAGCAGAGATCAAAAGGGTCAGAGATCCCTTTACCAATTAACAGCAGGGAGAAGAACATCAAATAAGGTGTAAATTTTAGCTCTGCAGTTTTGAGTAAGCCAAGCATGAAATGCATTCTAATACTCTTGAGTAGCTGCAGCTTTGAGCCATCAGTGATGTCACTGGTGCACTAAAGGAAGCTTAATCGCACTTAGAGTGGCATGTAGCAATCCCGCTCAGCTAGGTGCTAAAGCCTGCTGCTTCTTGTCTCTTTTGATAACACATGGGAATTGCTAGCCCCGACGTGGCTGGCGAGAACAGAAAACACTCCACAAGAAAAGGAGGCTTTCTTTGGGGGTCTTACGCTTTTACCGCTCCCGATCTTAAAGAGATAGTGACACTGTTTATTTTCTCCCCTTAATTGTTTCAAATAAAGAAGGAAATAATTAATAAGGCCCAGTGTAAGTAATCAGCCTTTGGGGGCTCGAAGCGCTGCTTAATCCAACTTTATGCAAATCACCGTGGGGGGAAAGCTGTTCCTATAGACATCGCTCTTTCTTCTCTTTCTTCTCTCTCCAGCCACCCCCTCCCACCCCGCCTTTTAAGTATGACAAAAGAATGCCACTGAGCCTCTTTATGCATCCCCTTGACCGGTACATACTGGCCAGAATATGCAATGTGACAGGATGGCGCTGGGAAGCGCCGGGAGCTGCTGGGAGCAGAGGGAGCCGCTCCTTTTCCGCTCCTTTTCCAGGGGGGGCTGTCCTGCTCCTCTGCCTGGGGAGCCTCCCGGCCCAGCTGCCGCAGAGGATGTGCAGCAATGGCACCTGTGAAGGTGGAACAGGCAACGCTACCAGCGAGAGCAGCAGCAGCGACAAAAGAGATGCAACGGGCCCACTGCTCTGGCAAAATAGCACTCTAGCACTTTAAGGCTGAGCTAAAGGTCAGAATCAAATAAGTTTAACCTATTTTTAAAGTGGCTTTATGTGTGGGTATTTATTGTTGCCCAATGTCATGCCTGCTTTCTCGCAGAGAAGTGCATGAAACAGAGTTTAAACAGAAAAAGGCTTTTCTCTTTTATTTTTTCTTTTTTTTACTGTTTGTAAATTAAAATTATGTCAATAATAATTCGAAGCACAATCCTTAAAGAAATAAATGTGAATATTATGTTATGCTTTTGTTTATTTCAGCTAACAAAAGACTACCATGGGGACAATTACAAATTCATGATATGGGTACATTCACAGAATACATTAATGGTCCCGCTTCAGTGAGAAAATACAGTTGTGATGTTTAAAATGTGTTAAGAAGAATTCCCACAACTTAAATGTGCACTTTCATTTTACAGATCTCAACTACAATAAGTTCAAATCAGGAATGCTCCATCTCTAACAGACTTCAATTAAATATATTTCACATGAATTTAACTATTCTGCTCAGAAACTCATCCCAGAGCATCAAATACTCCTTTTTACATATCTAAGTATTCATAATTGCATATACCTAATTTATTTAGGAAAAGTCAGTAAAATCCCCTTCCTGCTTTGGTTTCAAGAGTGCAAGTACTTGGTTTTCTAAACATTATGAATAAAACTAGATCTGAAAGACATCATATCCACAACAAAGAGAAGCTAGTGACCAGCTCAAATACACTGTCTTTTGAACAACAAGTCAGTGCAGACAGAAGTAAATGACAGTTAATTACAAATTACATTCTGGTTGGGGCTGTGAAGGCCTCCTGGCTTGAATAATAATCAGGCCCTGGGGCACTCACCTGCCTGCAAAGGAACATACAGAGACACAGGCTGGGGTGCTATACAAGTTTCAAAACAAGCTGCTAAACACAAAAGCTTATTGGATTACAGAGATTTAGGCAAAAGCATTCAGATCTCTGGCAGCAACTCTAATAGTAGGTTGAAGGAATTTCTAAAGGATGAATTGCCATTTACTGTAAATTTCTGAATACTCCTCCTGATTTTGGGGAAAGAAAATAAGATCTCTTCTTTTCCAACATTAAAAAAGTTATCCTGCTGCAAGTGCCCTTCACAAAATATGGAAGGAGAAAGTGTCTGCTATGAATTAGAGATCTAATCTCTTTCCAAATTAGAGAAATTACACATACTGTTTACATTCTTTCTTTCAGATTCTTGCCATTCAACCAGTACCATATATGTTCTAAATGTAGCCTATATAAATGCAAATGAATCAGAAAAAAAGCATTACTCATTGTGGAAGAAATACTATTATGCAGCATCTTTGACTGTTAAAATTTGTGTTGTTTACTGATGTCTGTTGCACTTTTTAACCATTGATTTTAATCCCATATATTTTAAAATATGACAATGTCTACATTAATTAATGTCAGTATTAGTGCAGTGTAAAACCTTGGCTTTTGTAATTCACTAAAGCAATTTCTATTCATTTAGTTGAGCTAAGTGCTTATTGTTAAAGACAAAAGGCTCAACAGTTTGACATTGAGCTCATTATGTATGTTTAAAACATTCTGCAATTCAAGGCCACACCACATGCAATAAAAAAGAAGCCAGTGGGTTCAGGGATTAAAATTCAGACCACACAGTTCTCTTCAATAACTTTCCATTTAAATCTGATTCAAACTTCAAAACAAAGCTATTTAGATGTATCAGCATACGTGGGTGTGTAAGTATGGGAGAGTATATATCTTTTGGGCTCTTGATATGCATACACAAACTTTCAGTTGTTCTGTTTTTCTTTAAATCAGCTGCCATGTAGATTCTGTAAAAGATTTTCTTGTTGGTAGGTGAATGTGATCATGTGTTTTTGAAAGAATTTCTGGATTTCAAAGAGAAATAATTTAGTGATTTTTTTTGCTGTGATTATTTGCAAAGACAATGTATAAGGACAACAGACTATGTTTATGCTCTGTATGGCATGTACGCGTACATCCACTGTAATGAAAACATAAATGACATGTAAAGTAAAATGGGTTGGAAATCATGCTATATATTTCAGATAAAGTGCATAGACTGCAAAAAAGCTTGATAATCAAAAAATATGCTTGTAATTAAAAGTATATCTGCATGACCTTCTTCCAGATCTCTTCCAATCTCTTCCAAATCTCTTCTATTCCAAGTAACCAGACAGTGACTATGATTTCCTTCTCCAAGCACAATTTCTCCAGTAGAACTTTTGACTTCAGGACTAGAATATAAGAAAAAATTAGGCTGAATTACCATCCTGCCACAAAAAACCTTATAATATTCCATATGGGATGGAAGTGGTGCTCCTGTGGTATGGAAAACCTAGCAAGACTCTTTCACATTTGTCTGCCAAACACATTTGCCTGTTTGTGGATCAACTGTATTTCTTACAAAACCTAAGCAAAGAGTAAACTCAAGTGTTAGTACCACCTCCAGGCTTGTGGGGACAGGGTGGAAAAGGCATTATGGAGCAAAACTTTGTGCCAGGAAAGGCTGTGAGAATAACTATGAACTCACATGGAATTCTCTGACAGTAATTTTCCAGGAAAATAAATGTTGTGCACAACACTCCTCTTCTGCAGCTGATATTTCAGGACTCCTGTCCAAGCTGTACTTACTGCCTGTACCCCAGGTTTCACAGAATGATCTGCGAGAAAGACGGCAGAGCAGCATCAGGCACTACATGCAGAAGAGTGTGTGACTAGCTCACAGCCAAGCACCAATTGGGCCCCTATTGAATTTTTCATTTGTGCTGCATACCTCTTGCTAAGCTCCCCTACAAACATTTCCAAAGTCCTGCCATTTTCCAATGCTTTATCCTCTTCCAGTGCTACTACAAGGATAGCTGTGTCTCCTCACACAGAGAAGAATCAGGAAGTGATGCTATCAATTCAAACTCTGATAAATCATGAGGAAGAATGAGTTCAGAGAAGCATTCATTGTCCCTCTTAAAATATTTTATTTTCAGGATCAGAAAAAAATCAAGTGATGCAAAACATTTGATACACATCTGTCTATTCTGAAAGTAATTTTCAAAGGAATTTGTCTCCGATGATCCAAAGCTACTATGTACAATTTAAAATAGTCTTCTTCACCTTTGATTTTAAGGATGTTTGTGTGAGCTACAGTTTTAAAGCCAGAGGGAAAAATAGCATCACTCAACCAGAGTAAAGAAAAGGGGCCACCTTATCGGCAACAGAGTGATTTTGACTGTACTGACAATGACATGAGTAATCCATCATGTCATCGGCCCGGTGACGGATGTACCCTGCACCTCATCTCTGTATGTGTGCAGGGAGGACTATGTAGCAAGCCAGGAGGCAAGTAACACTTAACCCCTGCAAGCTTCATGTCCCTGCTGTGCTTCAGACAACCTCTGTCATGTATGAAAAGCCCAAAGAATGACAGTAAATCTATACAGACCAGCACAATCTACCATCGTGACAATTACACACCACCATAGCCTTATAACACTATTAAACTGTATCATCACAGACTTGTAAGACAAGGCCTGCATTATGTGCTTTGTTGAGCTACTTAAAAGGTCTTTGGAAATGCGCCGAGTATACCTTTTGTCTTCATTCCCTTAACAAAAGGATATAGTTCATAAATACTAATTCCATATAGGAGGATGATTAATTATTTTGGCCCAGCAGAAATTGCACATTATTCCAGAAAATGACTTTAGTGGTAGACAATATTAAAAGGGAGTAACAAAAGTTAAATATTCTTAAAAATATTTTCTAAGATTTTTTTTTCTTAATTGACAATAGTTTTAACAGAAAATCATAGATGCTTTCTAGTTTAAGGTGTAACCTACTTCCTTCAAATTTTTAATTTGTATTGTCACTTCTGAAAAAAAAAAATATGTACCTTAAAAACTTTGACATCCAGTTTATTCAACTCTGAAATATGACAACTACTTCTGCCACCACAGCTGCTGTTCTACAGTATTTTCATAGCTGAGGTATAACACTGAAATGTCCCAGGATGGCAACCTCATAGGTTAATACAAATGTGCTAACCTACAGTTCTCCATATATGTGCATACACACACACACATATACACATATTAATATACAAACACATACATATATTTTCTGGAACTGTAATGTGCCATGAAGATACCATCCAAAATTTTCATTCATATTAGGAAAGACAATACTGAATATCTTCTTTAAAAACAGATTCAATGGCTACATATCCTGAGTCTTCAAAAATGGGCTTTTAGCTTTTATTATCTCCCCTTTTCTCTTTCTGTTAATACAAGCTTCTCCTGGGTTAAAAAAAAAAGGGAAAATAACTGGTTGAATAGTAACATCGTTTGTTCATGTATATGCAAAAAAAGATCTTTTCACACCTTGATGAAATTAACATAAATTTAAATACTAATGAATTGGTAGAGACTAGTGAAGAATACCAAGGACCATATTCAAACTGAGTTATATCCTTATAAAACAGATCTATTTTCTAGGGACATGTGACATGAGTGTTATATGCCTTTATTGCACAATCTGCATAATTCACAGTCCAAAACAATTTGCAGCTGGATAAAGGGAATTGACTCTTTACTAGTGGAACATTACATCTAAAGGATATTCTTTTACTTCTTGGCTGAAATTACCATGTACTGTTGGAAGCCAAAAATCCATAGTCAAAACACACAAGGAAATGTGTGTTTGGAGCTATTCAGCATTTTGTCACTGAGGAAAGCACGGTACAAACATACACAAGGCAGAGGGGGAGTGGAATGTAAGATGAAGAACCACTGCATCTTTCAGTAATTCCAAGAAGTTGCTAAGAGAAGGACAACAGACATCAGGAGTAGTTTGTCTTCTCTGTTCCCTTCTGGCCTCATACAATGTATGCATGAAGCAGCACAACAGGAGCCAGTGCAAAACAAATATGCATAGTGGCAGAGTCAGTGTGCACATCTAAACAATTGCTATGCCCAATACTGAGGAATTTCCACACTGTTAGTGCTTTTCAACTCATCTGCTTATTGTGTGCATGTTGGTTCTGTTGGTGTCAGTCACAACCTTCAAAGCCAAAGTTTGTCTATATTTGCTCTTCCTTCCTGAATGGATCAAATCGCACTCTTTTTTTGTTGTTTGATGACTTTCTTCCTCAGACAACCATTCTTTTATCTTCTTATTTTGCTAGGGCTTGAGAACAGTGGAGACTTGATGGCAGGATACTCCACATCGACCAAAATCAGTTGACAGATTTCAGTAGGCATAAAGTAAATGGTGTGCTTACCTTTGGCTGAGGGGTAAGAAAGCTCTCGAGTTTTATGCCTGTAGATGCAGCAGCTGGTTCAGCACTGCCTTCCTTCCACAATATTTTTTCCCATTATACAGCCATGTATCATACACATGATCTGAAATTAATTAGTCCTAGAGAAAAATAAGACCGGAAACGAGAAGAAATCCTCCTACACTGTTCAGAACAAAATGACAATATATTAAATCACTCTTTATAAAAACACAAGAGTCTCGAGCAAAGTTATAAAGTTTCATTCAAATCAGGAATGTCCTTGGTAGGAAAAGACTAGCCTTTAAAAAACCTGTTTATTGCTGAAATTGAGTTTTCTCAATTTTTTAAATGTTTACATATTATTTTCTCCTAGTGAAAACTCAGACAGATAAAATATAAGCAACATAATTTAAAAAATTGTAGAATTTTCCCTTTGAACATATATAGGAAATTCCCTTTCCTATTATGTAGGAAAAATTTGAAATACGTCACTTAGTCTGTCATCCATTGATCTCCCTCCTGCTAGCCAAAAATAGCATTTTTGTTTCTTTATTCCCAGTAAAATTATGTGAATGTAGTACTATTTCAGAAAATACTTTTTCTGTCATCTGGTGCAAGTCATATCATCCTCAGAAGAAAACATCCTATATGTATTTTCTTTGTTTTTATGGTATTGCCATCCACAATGGGGAACAACAGATCTATGAGGAGTATGTACTGGTCCAACAGGTGAGTTTGTATGAAACAGGTGTGGCTTGCTGTACAAAGGAATTTATCCTCCACAAATTACAAATTACTACTTAATTCAGTTCTTTTTGTGCAGGAGTCAATCATTTGTTCCCTGTGTCAGGATGCAGCACAGCCCAGGGAGTCAGGGGCAGCCAGGGCTGTCACTGCCCTACGGATTCGGTACCCCCATGGGGACAAGTATGGTACAGCCAATGAATCTTTCTGAAGAGGTGAGTACCCGTGAGCAGAGCTGATGGATTTGCTTAGAAAACCTCTTACTAATGCCAAGCAAAACATTCAGTTTTACTTTCTCAACTAGTTGAAGAGTCTGTGATCAGAAAAGTTCCCACTAGAGCACATAATGATTTATTTAAAACAAACAAACAAAAAGTACAACCCTTTCTACTTAAAACAGAATATCCAACTTTGTACTAACACCTTGTATACACTGATAGCAGTGCTGTTGTGCAAAATTTAAAATGAAAGCAAGATATAGTAATAAATGTTGGACAGTACATCACTGACTAAAAACTACATGGAGATCATTTGGGCTGCTTGAAATCCAATGTTCCCTAAAGTGATTAAGGCTACATCATCTACCTGCAAGTTTTATAACATGTTACCTACATGTAAACAGAAACCTATTTTACACAGGTGGACTACAGCCTTTTGAAATTTACATTTTAAAATTATCAAAATATACTAGAAATATACTAGATTATATATACAGAAATATACTAGAATATTAAATATACTAGAAATATACTAGAGCCCATATGCTTGAAAACAAAGACCCCAAAACAGATTCTGAATATGCCATTTTTGAGTTTCTCAGCATCAGAAAGGCTTACCAAGGTTATTTGGTCATTACCAAATGTTCACCATTGTGTTCACCAAAAAACACCAGGATCAAAAGGCTATGAAAATCAGCCCATAACTTTCTCAGCCCGAAGGAGAATTCATCTGCCATAGGTAAATCCTAATCCCCCACAAATCTGATAAGTAGGCGGTTTGAGATGTAATCACATCTCAGTTTAAGATGAGATCTGGCAATCTCTGAAGTTCTAGTCTCAGGCACAAAAAACATACAGAAGCTTCAAGATTCCTCTAAAGCACATAACAAATGTATGAGCATATATATACAAGTCAAAAAGAATGAATTATTTTCTACATTTTTACAGCAATGCTATTATATTTTAAAAATTGCCCTAATTTGAATACTCTTGGGATTCCTGTCAGCCTTGGCTGGATAGTGGGTAAAAGGCAAAATTTAAACTCCATAAATTATAGCTGCAAGTAAGAAAATTACTCTTACTTATTTATTTCAGTAAATTCCTTAAACAATGTAGAGTAAAAAAATGTGTCTTTAACAGGAAACTTACCAGTATGTCTATTTAAAGGTTTGAGAATTTTTTTTGGTTGCAGGAGCCATTCCTGGGGGCGGCACAGCCACGACAGCAGTTCTGCTGAAGAACTCAATACACAAAAGGTATTTCAGAACAGGTGACATGCATCAGCAGACATTGTGTTCTAGCTTTATCTACATGGGGTTAAGAAGTTTCTGTCCTCAGCTGCTCACCATTTCTCCCCTCCTTAGGGGTAATGCCCTCACACATTTGGAGGCATAAGATCGTTAATACTGTTAGTGTTAATAATAGTTACTCCCTAACTTGTTATCTGGATGATAATATTTAGTCTTCCCAATCACACTTAGCTTTCCAGTGTCCTAACATTGGCTTGACAGAAAGATTTATTAGAAAACAGACCAAAAAAAAAGCTGTAAAATTCAGATACAGCTTAGCTAAAAATGAAGCACGGGATTTGGAGGTGAAAGAAATTGCACCTTTGCCGATCCATAGAGGGGTCAGGCTCTGAAAGTGTATTATCACATGTATTATCGCTAGTCACTCTGTGTATTTGGTGCTATGGACAACTCAAAATGTTCTACTTTTTTTTTTTTTTTTATCTGTTAAAGGCAGGACAGACATAACCTTTCTACACATTCTTAAACCCCAAATCTGAGTTCTTTCAGATTTAATGTAGTGTAAAGGAATGGCATCGTAGTTGACTGAAAAACCAAGGTGCCCTGACTTACTCAGACTGACTGACATATTTTTTGTTTGCTTAGCAAGTAGATTTACTTTTTGCCACATATAAGAGAATGCAGAGGAAGAGAAATTTTGTTAAACTACCTAACCATAAGCAAAAATTTGGGCATTTAGTGTGCAATTTTTGGTTTCGTTTTTAACATTTTGTTGCAAAAAAATACCTTTCAATTGCTTATGGGGTAATTTTAAATAGGATTATAAGTTTTTCTTAAGCAGTTCTTGATACACAATTGCACTTATTAGAAGAAAAGGATGAGAAATTCTGCATGACCTTGGATTCAGGTGCATAAAAAGCCTACATGACTCAATACCTCTACTGCAGGGTGACACATGCAATCTAATTCAAAGCTTCAAGCTTCACAATGCCAAGAAGCCCTGTAAGTACTTGCAGGCTAGAGAAATATATAGGTTACTTGGCCACAGACCTTTATGTACAGGTTCAAAGGACTGAAGCGTGGTTCTAATTGTTCATTTTGAGAAAGCATTGTATTACTTTTCTTGTCAAGGAAACAAGAAAAATGAAGAATTCAGTGCCTCAGAATAAGAAAACCAGAGCTGTTGAGAGAATATAGTGACAAAATGTTCTATAGAGTAGAAATGGAGCATTTTAAATGTGCTTCATTCCTTATATAGCATATGGTGGGAGCAGAGGTGGCTAGGAGAGATTGATGTGTATGTGCACACTCTTGAGTTACTCCAGAATAGAGTGAATCAATGCAACACATATTGATTCAAGAGATTAGCAGTTAAAAGTCAGTTTCACATTAGAGAGCTCTGAAGTTGTCACTGTTACCATATCACCACTTTAACATCCCAGAAACTATTTCTTCTGGTAGTGCTGGTAGTCTCCAGAACAACATACATAGATATTCTACGTTTAATACAACCAGCGTGTCTGAAAGAGCTACTGAAATAAAATTCTAAATTAAATTTTGAATAATACGACTTTCAAAATAAAGTTCAGTGGCAATGTATTTGAAGAACTAATGTACATTCTAGAAATAAGATGGTGGGGAAACCTTCAGAAATGTTTTCCTTTCCAGTGATAAAATAAAGCCATCTACTCTTATGCAATTGTTAAAGACTGCAAATTTTTTTTTATAATCTCTTCACTGTATTAATTTTTTATTCCTCTAGTTAGGGTTTGTAAGGCCTTAAACCATTTCCTTCCCTCTTCTATCATTCAGACAGGAGAAATAGAAGAATTAGATCAGTGTTTTACTTAAAGTTTTCTCTTGGATAAACGGACTCCTAAAAATGCATTAGCCATGGAATCGACAAAATATTAACATTATGTGTATGACCATCCCTGTGTGGATCAAAGATCATACATTCAGATGGTCAAAACAGTGAGTGTGCATCATAAACCAGAATTGCTTTGAATGTTTTGGGGAATAGATATCAATTTTTATAATACCAATATTATAGATCTGTTATTTTATAATATACATGAGGCAAAGGCCAATTGAATGACCAGAAAGTTGGAGAGTGAGAAAGGGTTAATAGAAAAAGTTAGTCTACTACTTATTATCACTCTGATCTTCCAAACACCTCTTACATACCATAACACATACATTACCATAGCACCTGTGTAAGGAGGAGCACATCTGTGCATATGTTACCTATTTGCAGAAATCACTGGATAGCAATTACAAGTTCCTGAACTTTACTGAAAAATTCTTTTCTTTTTTTATTTTTTCTCCTTCTCATTGATTGTAACTTGCCACTATAATTTACTACTTAGCAGCAGTTAGAGTTTAATAGAAAGAGGGTTCATCCTTTATTTCTATTATAATTACCCCTTCCATAATAAAGGAAAATCTGGTGCTCCTTTCAAAATCACAGTGGTTCCACTGGTCAGTGACTAATATTAACACTATTTTTTTTTTCTTTCAGTGCCTATTTTCACATTAAGGTGAGGCACACAATTGTTTAAATGGGAAGCTGATTTATCATTCAAAAAGTAATTCTTCACAGGGGCACACTAGGTGATAAAAATCAATGACAAGTATAGTAAATTGCCTGGGAGGGTTCAAAACAGATTCAAGATAAAGCAGAGAGAGAGAGAAAGAGGGAGAGAGAGATTATGTCAAGACAGCATCTAATGCTTTTGCCAAACACTTCAGCCTCACCCTATTTGACGTTGATCTAATAGTCGACCATTTAATTTCCAGGTCGCAGTGCCAATCTTTTGTCACCTCTGTTGCCCCATATCAAACTTTCAGGAAACAAAACCCCTGAAAGCAGACAATCAATAATGAGATCAGCAGATTTTATCTTAAGAGAAACAGGACTTGCCTGCTTTGTTTGTGGAAGGTTGTTTCTTTGAATACTTCAGCCAGGGCTGCTTGTCAGTAAGTGACTGTGATGTGCACAGCATGATTGAACGAGACTAGATAAAGTCACCAGAAAATGTGGAAGTGGAAAGCAAAACACATAAACTAAGGGGTGAAAATGTACCACACCATGTGTGGCCACACAGTTCTTATCATATGTACTCTCCTAGCATGTCATCCTGTATTATTATTGGTGCATTTTAGATGCCTTGTCACCGGTCATATGCTAAACACATTTTTACCTTAGGATCAGAATATACTATGGAATTCCAAGGTCTCAAGATGTCTAAGACTATCCATTTCTCCACAGTAGTGACTTCTTGCTTCTTTGAGCTCCTATACTGTTTAATCAACATGTTGTGGACTAAGGAGTTGACTGTATGGCTGACTTCTTTCCCATGGTTTCTAAACTTTTTTCTGAAGAAAGGGAAAGAGATGCAGCGAACACACTAGAAGATGCATTTAAAATTTTTTAACAAGGTTTTGTGTATAGGGACCCAATCTAGGAAATCTGCATCATAGACTTGTGGTGTAGATATTTCAGTTAAAAAAAATTATGTGGTGTCAGTGTCCACTGTCAAACCATATTTTGCATGGGTCCCTCCTCACTGAAGTTAGCTAAACATTGCTTCCACTCTCCTTTCCTGTCAGCAAAGTGGTGATTGAGAAAAAAAAAAATAAGAATAGAAAAGTTTTAAAATAAAAAGTGATTTTCTGACAAACCTAACTGCAACCAATACTAACTTCAATGTGGAAAAGTAATGACTCTGCATATTACTTTTTCTAGCTTTTCTCCTTATCTTCAAATATGCCAGCCTGATCACAACATATCCTTTTATTAGGCAGAGTAGGATAAATTTTCACTTTACACCACCCATTTTAATTTTCATTTCAATTATAGTCAGTAGGAAAACCATCATTAGTTAAAATTAAGTAAATTTCAAAAAAGTATTCAAATGAATACTGACTCCTCTAAAACGGCAGGGGCCAAGCTCTTCTTTTTAACCACAATGAGGTGCTAGTCAGTTATTTCACCTGCTTTGTTTTTTTGCAATGGCAGTAGAGACTTGAATGAGAATGGTGAAATACTCAGCATGTGGTCTGTGCTTGTTTATTAAGTTGCTACTATTAAAATAATATGGCAGAAATAACAACATTGCTTTGCTGGAATAAACACAGGATATTTTTAATTATTTAATTTTCTCAAGAAACTCAACTGAATGCAAACTACAGAGTTGGGGAGACAAAAATTGCTCTTACTAAAGCTTAAAAAATGTAACACAGTAGCATCACTAATACCTTCAAAACCAGTGCTAAAATGTAGGGTAATTTAACTAAAAAAATCCTCTTCTTCAATACAAATTCAGAGGGCAGAGATGTTATACTGATGGAAAGGAAATTAATGTATCTAGCAAATAGTTACTCTGCAGATCCCTACACTTAATTTTCTGTGTTCTTAATTTCTGCTTCTGTTCCTTATGATTTTCACTTCCAAGAAACTGAGCAGTTTGTTCCAGATCTTTAAAAATGTCTGTTTCTAAGGAGAACGTTGTTACTCTGAGCTGAATGATGATTTAAAGAGGAATTTGTGCCCAGGGCATTGACCTTGGTGGCCTTTTCGTACATTACAATTCCAAAGGAAATCACAAAAGAAGATGGGCTTACTGTAGTTAATGAGATTCCTCACCAAAAACACTAATCTGGGTTAAAACTAAAAGAATGCTGATAAGGATATTACAGCTCATACTGAGAACAAGAAAGGTGCACTGCTAAGATCAATTGTGGATGTTAGGAGGTAGTCTTCAATAGTGGGTTTTTAAAAAAATATCTATCAAAATGGATGTTTGAGAAAAAGCCTTTTAAATGAGGATCTGCTAAAATAGAATAAAACATATAATTTCTACTTTTTTTTTTTTTTTTTTTTTTTTTTCAACCAATATTAGCAGAAGTTTAACATCACTTTAAAAGAAAGAGATTGACCTACTGAGAAAGTACATGAGTAAATGTGTAGCAATACACTGATTATTACTGTTTCCCCTCAGGCAAATACCTCTCTCTTAAGCA